AATAAATGAAGAACAAAGAGAATGTTGTAAAGAAAAAGAAAGTGAAGTAAATGAAATATTGCTAAAAAGTTTGAACAATCTGTCACTTAGATTTGCATTAAAAGCTCCTATAAATAGGAGAGCATGATACATGGTACAAGTAAGGATACATACATAGGACTGGATAAAAAAGGTGTTTCTGAAATTCTGAATGTCCAAGTTGACAAACAGACTAAGTCCTATGAAATGTCTAATCATGCTAAGTGACAAAACTAATTAATACATAGTGAAAAAGGTATTGATTCGGAAGCTCTAACATTATGGTCCTAACATTCATTATGGAATGTCTTCTATTCATCTGCTTCGGATACGACTTGAGTTCCGGACTCCAACTAATTCCGTACCAACTTATCACTTCGGAATTATTGTTGACTTCGGATCTTCGATAAGGATTGAGGTTGCTAGAGGTTCACTTTCAGGTTCCAACAGTAACAGCTGAGTATGTGGGGTGTACTCAGCCAACTTGACCTTCCCTTGATTTTTGACTTTTTGATATGGAGTTTGACCAAGTTTGACCTAGGGGCATTTTGGTTATTTTGAGCTGTGAATTGAGTCTATGTTACTGTTTTCTGTATAGGTGACCCGTAGAGTTGACAGTTGGAGCAGCATTCTTTTCTGGTATCTTTTCAGAATATGAGGTAAGTTTTCCTCACTATAGTTGTGGGTCGAAGGCACTGATGTCGGTCTAGTATATTATGTATTATGGTTTGGAATGTTGCTATACTGTAAATAAACAGTTAACATCTGCATAATTATCTAGTTGCTGTTATGTGTTTATTTTTTTACAAGTCGACATAGTGTGGTTGGGTTGAGACTGTACTGCTTTGTGCTACCAGTCAACAAACCCGAGCAAGACAACCGAAAGGTTATAGAGCGGTGACAATCCAACCATGAGGTTGTGGACCAGGAGATGTCAATCCAACCATGAGTTCATGGGCCATGGGTAATCTAACCGGGAGGTTATGGACCCAATATGTATTATCTGTATATGTTCTATTTTGTGGTACTTTGGGGGAACTCACTAAGCTTTTGTTTATAGTTTAAGTTCCATATTTTGGGCGCTTCAAATGATCGAGGGAAAGCGAAGGCGTGATCGTACACATTCTTCAGAGATATTTTTAGGAGATTTTTGTTACATTATGGTTCTGAGATATTTGTATTTGATACTTGGTTTTGTCTTGGGGGTTGTTTGAAACCCATGATTTTTCCTTAATTAAAAATAAAAAAATTTATTGTGTTTTTGGGGATGTTATATTAGATATCTTAAGATCAGAAGAAAACGGATTAAGCGTGTTTGAGTTATTCAAACTAGTCCCCACGTCATGGCCTTAGGTTACCACAATGTGACAACTGGGGAATCATCGATTGTTTTGGCATTTTGTATCAATGACATAGCCAATGAAGGCCATCACGTGGAGGGTTGGTGTTGGCAATTTTGACCTTAGCTTTGACCATTGACTTTAAGGGTTAACTTTTAGTCAAATTTCTAGTTTTAGAAAGATGGCCTAAGTTTGTATCTTGTATGGTGATATAGGTGGCAGTTAGCACCTATCTCTTGATTTGCGAGCCGTTGACCTTTGACTTCATTAGCGAGGTGAGTCTTCTCACTATACTTGAGGGTCAAAGGCACCAATGTCAGCCCACTAGATTGTGTTATGTAGGATTCTAGTTGTCCTTATGACACTTGTATGTATGTTTAGGTTGAAACATACCCCAGGGTTGGGCCCGCTATTGTATGTTGGATTGAAATATACCCTAGGGTTGGGCCCTCTAATGTGTATTGGGTTGAAATATACCCCATGGTTGGGCTTATTGATGTGTATTGGGTTGAAATATACCCCAGGGTTGGGCCCACTGATTTGTATATTTTATGTGGTATTTTGGGAAACTAACTAAGTTTTATGCTTATGGTTTTGTGGTTTAACATTTCAGGTACTTCCAATTGAAAACGAAAGGGCCCATGTGATCACACAACATCTCCTTAATTTAATTCTGTAGTGACATTTGATTTTACTCTGATGATTGAGAAGATTTTAAATTATGGTTGATTTGATACGATTGGTTGTTTTTTTTTGTTAAAAAATGAAAATTTTTACCTCTATTTTTGGGATGTTACAGTCTATGTTTGGTCCACCTCTTATATTGTAGAGGTTTACATATGTGCTCCATAGACTATATATATTTTGCTTCATAAAAAACAAACAACCCCTAAAACTTATAAGGTTGATTGGAAGGTAGAGAACCGATGTATTCTAATCAAGGTCAACCATTAGTCCGTCAAAGAAAAAACTAACAACTGAACATATATGATATGGTTAAGGTTGCCAAGGTAGCTCTCATACCATGAAATTATATATTCTCTGATTAATTGACAATGTACAAGAACCATTTATATATTTGAACAACACATGGGTAAGGGTTGTTTGGTACAACATCTAAATGAACTCTGAACAAGTCAAAATCTTTGGAACTGTCACCGAACAGTTAAGCAATCTTACATTCTCTTAACCATTAAGAGGTTGAAACCATTCAATTTAGAATTCAACGTGATACCAAACAACCACTAAGTATATAAAGCTAGTCAGAATCCTATATCAAGATTCCAAGATTTTGAAATCACGATATGAGATTTGGAGGGATTGGCTATCAAAGGGAACACTTCATTAAAATATGACATTTTAGGGAAAGAATTTTTTTTTCGAGAAAAACATGCTCCAATGTTATATAAAAAGCTTGGGCTGTTTTTTTCTTTGCTAGCTTGCAAATAAGGGTTGGAGGGATACCATACTCCTTTCACTGCCACGTAAGTCTCACGTCAGTTTTTACCATAAAAGCGTGGTTCTTTGCCACACACAAGGAGTGGTGTCACACTTGTTCTTTAACAATTTAATTTAAATAAAAACTTTAATTTTAATAAAAACAAAACATATTATTACTTCAAAATAAAAAAAATAAAAAAACATTACCTTGTCTTACTTAAAAAAAACATAAAATGATATTAAAAAAAATCTTAAACACTTAGAAATAAAATGCTAGAAATCTTAAACTTACAAAAAAAATTACATTAAATAAGAAAAACAAATACTAAAATTAAAATAAAACATACTACATGAAGTCTTCATCTGAGAACTCGTCTTCCGAGTCATCCAGTGGATTCAAATTAAGGTTAATGTGTTAAATCCCGTAGATGTGTTCCACTAAGTCCATGCAAAGATTGTGAAATATTTTAGTGCTATGTATCACTGCTTTCCTATCCATGTACTCGTCACCACCAATTTCTATTGGCTTTGTCTCGGGGATGGTTTCATGCTCGTTATACGTATATATCGCTCTTCCTTCATCTTTAATAATCATATTATGTAATATGATACATGCATACATAACTTCTTTAAGTTTTCCCTTGCTGAAAAAAATTGTTGGTTTTTTCAATATGTACCAACATTTCTTAAAAGCTCCAAAGGCCCACTCGACATGCTTCCTAGCTCTTTATTGAGCTATCTTGAATTTCTTACGTCTAGAATCATGTGGAGATGAAAATGATTTACCAAACACAACATACTCAGGATAGATTCAATAAACAAAATAATAACCATACTTATATGACGTTCCATGCATTTGAAATGAAGAATCTGGTGCAAAACCATCATATATGTTGTTAAATAAAAGTGAACAATTAAGAAGATTGATGTCGTTAATCGAGCCGAGGGAACAAAAAAAAAGCATTCTAAATCCACATATCTTGTAACGCCGCCTCTTCAAGTATGACCATCGGTTGACCATGATCACCTCACGTAAATTGACTATGGTATGAGGTAGGGAAACTTTTCCATGCGTAATGTAGACAATCTAAACTTTCTACCATTCCAGGAAAGTCATGTATGCTAGCATGATGAACTTGTAATTGTAAAATGTCATTGTGTGTAAGCTTACGTAAATATTTGGATCATAAATTCTAATAACATATTTGCAAAACAATATAGATTATCTTGTGCGGTCCTAGCGGACATCCTTAAACTCTCGTCTAAAGCATTATGAGGAGTGTCATATGCTAATTGACGAAGTGCAGTTGTGCATTTTTGTAAAGGAGTGAAACCGGGTGTATCTCTAGCATCACTACATTGTTGGAAAAACTACACTCTCTCGTTAAATCTTCGACTAGACATTCATATAAATATTTGAACATTCTGAAGCGTCTTCGAAAATAGTACCCTTAAAAAGTGGCATTCTCATCAAAGTAGTATTGATGCAAGTGTTGTTCGGTCGGTTGCTTCACGGTTTCGCTGTATATACCTTCGTGTTCTTCGTTCCGCACTTGCGGCTTCATCATTACGTAAAGTGTTATACGTTTGACAACAACATCAATCATAAACTGAAATTCTTTAGAAGGCCCAAATGACAACATTTTCTAGTGATTTTGAGAGAAATAAATATAAAAAGATATAAGAATTGGATTTTATGTTTAGAGAAATAAGGGTGTGAGGTTTTATTTATAGGTAAAAAAATCTCAAATTTAACCATTGAATGTTGGAAGAAGAGACAAATGAATAAAGGAGAAGAGTCAGATCACAATTTCAGTCTACCACATGGTGTAAAACCGTGGTCAGGAACGGTCTTGAAACCATGGCAAAGGTGCGGTAAAATCGTATACACTCCCTTGAGCCTATGAAGTTTGTGAAACAACATATTAAAAGCTTTTGATGATTTAACTTAAAGTGTTCACGAATCATAAGCGAAATCATCTTGTGTCTCGAACAATTAACGTGGGAATTCATGAAGCTTTTTTTGTCATTTTAATGGATATTTTGTGATAAGATTGTAAAACATTGTTATGTTCCCATGTTTGATTATATTAGTGATTATGTGTAGATTTATTACATAAATGTTGATTACGAGAATTCTTAATTTGACTTAATTAATAGATATTTAAGTTAGTTTAGAGATAAATGCAATGAAGACACCTACTTCATCACAATTATATAATATTCCCCATGACTTGACATGTCTTTCATTTATGGAGGTGTCATTTGCTTTCATACCTCTCTCGTCTTCTACCGGCTTCCGCCATTATTAAATTCAGCTTTCACTCTGTTTCAATTTCATCACATTTTTAAAATCCCTTTTGAGAGTCCATGATTCTGTCATCCATTACTGTTCTCAAAGCTTGACGTTTAATGCTCCTCTGTTCCGGCCATCATTTGTTGGATTACAACTTCTATTGCATCGTATTTTTTCAGAGATTTGGTTCCTGATTTCCAACAATCCAGTGACCGGAAGAGTTAAGAATAATGTCGGAGAACAGAGACGGGCTGGATTACCTCCGAATTCCGTTCGAGAAGATCAAGTTTGGTAAGAAACTCGAGGGTCACGGCTATGGAAGTGTGTTCGAAGGAGAATTTGGAGATCGACGAGTTGCGTTGAAGCAGTTGAATATCACGAACCTCGGTAACATTAAACCGAAGCTATTAGGTGAAATTTTAACGATTTCTCAATTCCGGCAACATCCAAATCTCGTTGCTCTTCTCGGTTTCTGTGACGAAAGGAGCAATGAGATCATTCTCGTTTACGAGTATGTCGCAAATGGACATCTAGCTGATACGATGAGAAAACGTCTGAATACGATCCAGCGCTTCGAGATCTGTCTCGGAGCTGCTCGTGGACTGGATTATTTGCATACCGGCGTTAACTCCACCACACCTGGAATCGTTCATGGTCATGTTAAGCTTTCGAAAATCCTGTTGAATTCTGATTCAAATTCATCGAAATTTGAAGCAAAGATTTCGAGTTTTGGATTATCCAAAATCGTGCCTGGAAAAGCTCAGAAGGATCCGGAGGATGAAGTCAACGAGAAGCCGACGAAGGAATCTGACGTCTACTCTTTCGGTGTGCTGTTGCTTGAAGTGCTGTGTGGTGTATCGGAATTGGTGGATACCGATGATTATCAGGAACGCCATGTGTCCGAATTGGTCCCGAAGAGACTTGAACAAAATAAATTACGCAAAATCGTGCATTTCGATATCAGAAGAGAAATCAAAACGGAGGCGTTGGAAACTTACGCGAAAATCGCGTGCCAGTGTGTAATGGAAAACCCTGAAACACGCCCTACCATGACTCGGGTTGTTGAAGAACTCGAAAAGGCATTGAGATTACAGGTAAGTTCTCCACAATCGACGACCCAATTTGACTGTTTGTCGACGTACTATTTGGTATTTACTTTTGAGCTTTTGATGCAGGGAGGAGAGGTCACCTATGTTCAAATTCTTCGTAGCGAAAACATCAACGACGTAGCAGATGAAACAGTCGTAGATGATGGTCAGAAAGAGGACGGCGATGATGAGACGGTGGATTCAAAAACACTTGACGAAGAACCCCAGGAGGCGGAGATTGTGGCGGTTGAAGAAGATGCTAAGCAGGTGATCTCCGATGTCGCCGGAGAAGATAAAGCAGATGAAATTAGCAAAGTTGACAAATCTTCAGAATCTACCATTGATGAGACGAATTCACACGACAATATAACTGCGGTGAGTTGTTTTTCTTTTAACTTTTTTTTTTTTTTTTCCTAATTCTAACATATAATAATGTTTATATAATAAAGGTTGATGCTACAATAAATATTGACACAATTATAATCATTAAATACCACGTTGTATACATTATCACACATAATTTTTTACCATAATAAATACAAAGACTTACACGTTATATACATTATCACATATTAGTTATTTACCATAATAAATATAACATTATGATTAAACGTTTCTATAGATTAGTTTAACTTAAATAAATACTTACATTATACTTCTCTTCTAAAAGAACCTTTTAAAATGTAATCATTGTTTTGACTTACGTTATCAAGATCTTTTTTTTTTTTTAAGAAAGAAATTATTGATGTATCACATGTGCTAATTTCTTTCACATATATAATTTATATATTTTTCTAGAAGTATTTTTTAGTATTTAACTTTTTTGCTTTTTGTAAATAATAAACCAAAAACCATTTATATATTATGGGCCATACTGTTTCAAACCAAATAAAACATTTCATTATATATCTAAACTGCGAGTTAATATTTTGTAATCAATCTTTGTCATTTAATATTTTGTAATCAATATTAAAAGTTACCAAAATTTTGCCATTTAAAAAAATATATATATTATAATTATAATATGATACTTTAAAAATGGAAATTGTAGCAGATAACCTTCTTGTGAAAGCCTAGTCCATGTCACACCACATACTCTTACCTAAAAACAGTATGAATTATGAAACGTGTTTTTTTAATTATTATATTTGATAATTTTAAGTTTATTTATTTATTATTATTGTCTTTTTTTTTATCTATCTAAATTTTTATTTAGGTATGGTATTTTTAGTATTGCAGTTTAAAAAAACTATTTATATTAGTAAAACACTTCTCTCGTAATTTATTGGAGCATATGGTATGGGCAACGAGAAGTGATATTTTTGCTGATGAGGCATCTCATAACATGGTCATAACACCATAAACACCATTTCCCCCTTGGTGTTATGGCATATCTTGTTGGCGTTATAACATATTGAAACGAGAACATTGATTAGCTACACATTTCTTCTCTCTCTAATTTTCTCCTCTTAACCTCCTCATAACATGGTCATAACACCATGAACACCATTTCCCCTTGATGTTATAAGTTGTTATAACACCACCTCAATGGACCCATACCTAATGCTTTTACAAAAGTCTTAGGTTATAATTTATTTTGATGTATAAATGGATAATGATCAAATCTATAAATTATTCGATTTTAATAAATTATTAAATTATTGACTGTGTTTAGAATGAAGTTTGTTATGATGTGTCAAAATTGTATTTTTCTTTTCCTGAAACAATGGTTTGGTGCAGCAAGAGCGGAGCTTCGATGCTTCACTTCTAAATGGCGTTAATGGTGAGAGTTTAACTGACAATTCTCATATCGAAGATGCTGAAAAGGAGAGTAGCAACACTGTGATAACGAACACCAATGATCGAGAAACCACAGAAGAAATTACCGACAATTTAAGCTCCAAAGAGGAATCAAACATCACTGAAGACGATAACCAAAACTTAGTCCAAATTGGAGACGATCTAGAGGAGAGTACCAGAACTGCGATTGCGAGCATCAATGATCCAGAAACCGCAGAAGAAATCACAGACGATTTAAACTCCAAAGAGGAATCGAACATCACAACAGAAATCGAAGATGATAACCAAAGCGAAACTCAAATTGAAGATGCTCCAGAAACCACAAACGATTCCAAGTCCGAAGAGCAATCGGACACTGGAATTCCGGAATCAGGCAATAGGTCATGGAACGAGGTTGGAGACGGACTGGATGACCTTCGAATTCCATTCCAGAAGATCAAATTTGGAAAGAGAATCGACATTGATGGTTACGGAAGCATGTTCGAAGGAGAATATGATAATCAACAAGTCGCATTAAAACAATTAAACATCACAAACCTCGGCAACATTAAACCCAAGCTTCTATCAGAAATTCTAAACGTAGCTCGTTTCCAAAACCACCCAAATGTCGTTGCTCTTATCGGCTTTTGCGACGAAAAAAACAACGAAATTACGATCGTTTACGAATACATCTCGGGGGGGAATCTAGCGGATAGTTTGAGTAAACATCTCACCACGATCCAACGACTCGAGATCTGTCTCGGTGCTGCTCGTGGAGTCGACTATTTGCACAGCGGTCTAAACCCTACGCCTGGTATAATCCACGGTGACATCAAACTTTCGAAAATTTTGTTGAAATTGGATTCAATTTCATCAAAATTGGTAGCTAAAGTTTCAAGTTTTGGGTTGTCGAAACTTCTGCCTGGAAAATCTCAGAGGATTCTGGATCCTGAAGGTAAGACGAAGGAATCTGACGTTTATTCATTCGGTGTTTTATTGCTTGAAGTTTTATGCGGGGTGCCGGAGTTAGTGGATACCGATGATTATCAAGAACGACATGTTACTGAATTGGTTCCCAAGAGGCTCGAACAAAATATGTTACGCAAGATTGTGCATTTCGATATTAGGGATGAAATACGAGCAGAAGCGTTGGAAACTTATGCCAAAATTGCATGCCACTGCGTAGTAGAAAACCCTGAAGAACGACCAACCATGGCTCATGTTGTTGAGGAACTTGAAAAAGCGTTAATATTACAGGTAAATTTCACGCTAAACAAAATATTAAACGATTTGGTTGATAACTTTTGTGTATAGATGGTGCTCATAATTTGAGCTTTGAAGCAGGGCGAGGGTGTAACCGACATTGAAGTTCTTGGTAACAGTAATGGCAATAACCTACATGAAGAAAGTGTTGATGAAGATGACAATGGTGAGACGATGGACTTGAATACAGGGGTGGAAGAATCCAAGACTGTTGATGACGTCACTATGGTGAGTTCATCTTAAATTACAATATTTAATAATTTCAATATTTTGCTTTTCCAATTCGTTCAATTAGATATTCAAAGAACTATACATTGTAGATGCTCTGGGTCTTGGACTAATACATGTCAAAACACACACAATAAAACACTTTTTGTTCAATAGATGATTTAGAAACATGGAATAATGCAGGAAATGGAGAGCTTTCCTGTTATTGATATACCCGACATAACGCATGTTGAAGATGCTAACAAAGAGATTGACGAACTGTTGGTTGAATCTGAGAGCATAGAAGAAACCACAACTGATGTACAATCCAATGAGGAATCAAACATCATTTTGGAAAACGAACTCGAAAACAAAAGCGAGATTCCACTAATATCATTAGAATCCAACAATGGTGACATTGAGAACGTCGAAAAAGAAAATGAAAACACACTTCCAACAAACACCAAAAGCAAAGAAGAAGAAATCACAGATGATAAGATTACACCCATGGAGATTACTACGGTGAGTTCATCTTAGCATATACCCTAATCATATAACAAAAGCAAATTTATTTAAAAACATTCTTCTGGCAAACTTAACCGGATGCAGGAAGTGCACAACTCGGAAGAAAATGATAATAGCAAAATTAAGTTACATGGCACCAAGAAGGAACCCGAGCCAATCATCGCCACAAGAGAAATAAATTTCAATGATTTTGACACCACCAACTTAATACCCATCACAAAACCCCAAGAATCTGAAACCAAGAGAAGCAGTAGTAATAGTAGTACAAGCTCCGAGTCTAGCAATGGCGAAGGCACCGCTCCCTCAGATTCTTTACTGCAAAAAAGTTCTCCAAATGGTAACACCACGGTAAGAAAATCTTCTAACCGCTCTTTTCCAACTGTCTGTAGTTAAGCGTTACATATTCTTCTGTCTGTAGTTAAGCGTGCTTAGGCAAAAATAATATCAGGTTGAATGACCCTTTACAAGTCCTCATGTGTCTTGTTTTTTTCTTTTACTTCTGATGCAGAAGAAAACATTGTATGGCTCAAGAAACTGTTGTTCCTGCTCGTGGTGGAACCTTATCTCCAACAGGTTCACTCTCGTCCTCGTTCTCGTTGTGTGCTTACTTATGACTCGAGCTGCTTCAGGATCGAGAATCGATTTCTGATTTCTACTTTATAGTCTTACTATGTTACAGAGTTGCTTCGTGCGGAGGTCAATTTTGGAATAAATCGAAATCATGTTGTGCGTGTATCGGAGGGCAATTTTCTAGCAAACATGACTAAGGTATGTAATTATCGCATCTAAAGTTTCATCATTGTATAATTATGTTTCATGATGTTGGCTAATATGTTGTTTATTTTACAGAACATTGTGCTCCTTGTATCTTCTGTACAAGATGGGTCATTGTTGTTTTTACTGTTTTCTTAAATGTTTTTGAAATTGAGAGAGAAATATACCCATGATTGTTTTATCATTTGTACACTATTGACTGTTGTGTGTACATATGTTGTTCTGAGCATGAGAAAGTAATATATCTACGGATTTTTTTTATTTTTGTACACAGCATGTGGATTAACTTGACGAAAAGGGCATTATTGTAACTTACCATATGTCCAAGTCTCACTGTCATGAGACGAAAACTGTCACCTAAGGTGATTAGCAATGGACATTAAGTTCATGTAAATGACCATTTTGCCCGTGTCTCCATCATCCTCTTTAATAAACCATTGTATGCAAAACAATATAACACTCGTTTAATAGCGGAAACAAACACACTTTTTACTTTCAACCATGTTTGTATAATATACAAAAAAACTAACTTACAACCAAATATATAAAAAAAAAAAAAACAAACAAACTAGAACATAAATTTCACCACACTAAACAAATTCGAAACACACACAAACACAAACACACTGTATACAATTACATTTCAGAAACATTATTTACCTCGGTTGATTTTTCATGATCCAACTCTTGCTGATGATTTTCTTCTACAGGCTGCACCACTTTTTGTTTCCTTTTCTCCTTAAGAACAACTTGCCTAGGCATAACTTCTAATAAAAACGAACCTCCATTCCATACAGTCGCCGAAACTTTAAGCATTTGAAAAGCAAGATGCAATTCATATGACCAAAAGATAGGCACGGTAAGAGCCATCGTTGCCACCGTAAAAAGCGCTTGCAGTAAAATATACATAAACATACGGTTTTGGTCCCCAAGCAACCCACTTAACCTCCACCACAAGTTATTCGCTTTCTGTGCCTTTTTCGAAAGCTCCCTACAATAATCATACCAGACACCAAATCAATATCAGATATCCGATACATTAACAATAATGACAAAATAAGAGAATGTTGTGTAATTTACTGACCTGTAAGAGGTCATGACTTCAGGGTCCCTTAACAACCTCTGACGACGAAGGACATTGACTATCAGAAAGTACAACGCCTGCCAGAGACTGTAGGCGATTAAGGGGACAGTAAACAGCCATGTCCAGAGGAATGATTTGTTTCCCACATAAGGCCATGAAGCTCTCATTGCAGTTCCTTCTGGATGCATTGCTTCGAAAAAAGCCGGGTCCCACCATCGTATAGTAAAAAACACCACCCCTGTAAAAAAAAAAATGGGTAATAACTTAAGTTGATCCAGAAGTTATTGGGAGAGTCTGTAACAAGTAACAACTCACCTGGTAAAAGATGTATGAGGACGCTTACGAGTTTGTCCACGGAACTAAACACTAAGCTACAACGCCAAACGATCAACGCCCATGCTAGTGGGCCCTACAAAAATAGAGATTATTATGATGAATGGGATTATTAGCAAAAAGAAAATGGAAAAATGATATAATATAGACATATAGTTACCTCCGCAAACGAGAAGCAAACCATGAAAAGTTTTTCATTTTTGGGATAAAATAAAAGCATGATCAAGAATATGGTGTTGGCATAATAGCAGAAATCCTGCATAAAATATGAAGTACATTTAACTTTTGGTATGCTTCAAGAAATTGTCAAGGATTTTTATTTAAGTCTCATTGTGAGAATTTCAAATCCAATGTCAGCCCACTGTTGTGTACACCCAATATTGAACAGTTTGGTTGTTGGAATTTACCAGAAGGTAATAATGCCATTTTTTATATCGATAATAAATCCATCGAAGTGGAACGAAGGTGACATAGATCAAACAGTAGACGTATCGGATATCTTGTGGCCCTAAAACAAACAGAATATCAATGGATTTACAAACAAATCTTCATCAATATTACATTTTAATTTCCAAAAACTAAATTAAAACCACATCCATGGCATATTTGATATTACTCACTTGCACCCAAAATAAAGCAAAATCCCCCGAAGCCAAAGACACCCATAAAATGAGTAACCTACAATAAACACATCCAGGATTAATGTTAATCCCATGCTAATATGAAAAAGTAAAAACTCTAAAATTAATCAAACTTTGACTTCTGATGCGAGCTATGAACCTTCAAAATGCATTTTGTAACGAATTGAACAAAGTATGTTTCTTGTTTGTGTTTATTACTCACAGTTTGATTAAACTTTAATGATGTATATTAGTTTTGAACTTGATAATCAACCAATTTACATCATAAAGCAATTCTATCGACTTAACTCTTTAATAGAATCAATGTATCTATCAATCCATACAACACAATATATATTTACCTTAGTGATAAAACTTTCATGTTCTTCAGCCTGTTGAGCGATCTTAACAGCTTGTTTTGACAAGATCTCCTTCGTTTTTTCTTTCGTTTGAGCAACTTTCTAAGCAAACCAACAAATTCCCAATTCAAAACTTCGAAATACTGTGTAAACAATCAACAAAAACAAACAGAATCGAACTCCAAATCATACCCTGGATCGATCTTTTAATCTCTGCTTCACTCCTTGAAACCGATGCCCATTCGATTGATAATCATCCGCCTCTTCAGTGCTCGACATGTTTTCTTTCTTTCTTTGTTTTGAAGTCTTATTATGATGATTGTACTCTATTAAATCCTTTTCAGCTTTTGATTGAGAAGTGTCTGGAGAGATCGAATAATAGATAATAAAAAAAAAATGGGCGGTGGGGTTGGGATTTGGGAAGAACGAAGGCGGTGGTGACGCTTGCTTTATGCTTCTCACTAGGTTATTGATTACAATAAAGACTTCAAGTTTTCCGATTGTTTGCTAATCGATTCTGTGATTAAAAGGGGTTTGAGGATTACAGAAATGGGTATCGTTTTGATTGAAGAGGTTTATGTCTTTTTGTAGTTTACTTAATGGTCTTAATAACACGAAGCAATTTGAAACTGTGGACACGTAAAGACCTTGTCATCACAGAATTTTGCTTGCTCAACTTATCCTACCTTAGTTTTTAATTTAAAATAAAATAAGGTAGACTTTTCTACTATTCATATGATTAGTTTTTTTTTTTTTCATTTGGGGTATTTAGTATTAAAGAACATTAAAGTTTGGAGTTTGGTTTTAAATGAACATTTAGTTTTTTTTTTAGATCTATAATATAATTAAATTTGAATTTTACCTATCTAAAATACTATTTTTGTTAAAAATTATTCGGTTTGGTTTCCCAATTATATTGCTCATTTATACATTGACTTCTAATAGTCAAACATTTTCTAAGCCAATGAAATTGAAGATTGGTTCCCAATTATTGGTCAATCTGGTAAACAACCAAAACCTAATTGAGCGACATGATTACAACTCCAATTTACCTCTTGTGAAGAGAAGAATGAAACATCAACCGACGGCGAGGAGTTCTTTTGCTTGAAGGATAGTTATTTTCTAGTGAGAGACGGTGGGATTATGACAATGTATTAGGATGTTCACATGATTGAAAGCATGTTACCAGAAGTTAATCGAGAGAAGATGGTAGAGAGTGTAATATCTTTAAGTAGAGAGAGTGTTGGGAGGATATTTTACATGCTATATTGGAGGCGCATCATCTGGTTTACATTGTTGGTTGGTTAATTTACGATAAGGTGAAGCTAATCATAGGCCAAACGTGTCATTGCCAAATGGTGAAGATTTGACTCTTAGTGAGTTTTTGAAGTATAAATTAGAAGAAGGCATAAGAATGATAATCATTCAAGATGGGCCATACCAACACTTCAACGTTTTGATCAGAAGGAAGTGAATGGTGGAGTCAATGAAAGAAGTGGTTCCCATGTTTCTCGATGCAGGTGCTAGCAATAACACAACAGTAAATGATCTCGAGTGGGAATTATTCATAAATTCTCATAATCATGAAGCAAATCCCACTACGACAGAGCCCAATAACTACAATGAGTGGGAGGTTTTCTTGAATGTTAACAATCTTGAAGCAAATTCAGGTTTAGCAGGTCAGTTTGAAGACTACAATGATGCAGAACAACTACTTCCAAAAAGGCAGTCGGGAGTCTTCGAGCAACGTGAAATGTCATGCAAATCAAGTGGAGCCGAGTAAAGCCTCTATACACAATAAATCCCTAAATTTCCAATCCCTGTGAGAAAGACAACGAGTAGAGTACGTGTATCAAAAAATCGACAGTGTGATACATATTCTTTGTTGTATATAAAACCCTAATTCGATGTTGTAAGAGGAAGAAGCGTGAGAGAGTTGAGCGTGTTTTTAAGTGATGAATAATGCAGTCAAGATGCAATGCACAAATAAAAATGTATTTTAAACAAACATTTGACAATCAAAAGTCAATGTAACCGAGAAAATGAATGATTTTTGAGCAAAATGGTATTTTAAACAGATAATTTTTTATTTTAATGGTTTAACAGGTCAAAAAAAATTTTAATAGTCATTTAAAACGAAACACAAAACTTTGATGTGCCTTAATGTCAATAACCCTTTTCATTTTAAATACACATTTTATTATTTAAATACAAAAGTTAGAATATATTGTTATCTTATAACAAAAAAATGTTTGCCACAATTTATAAAGAAGCTACTACTTTGTGCTCAAATATGTATATAAAATAGAAAAATGTCTTAATAGAACAAATTTTTTGTATGGTATAACACCATTCAATTTTGTTTCTTTTTACATTTATTATAACATTTAACTTGTTAACGTGAAAAGAAAAAAAACAATATCAATATTTGGATTAATAGGTTTGTATTGATTTGATACTTTTTAATTTGTTTTTTAATATGTATTGATGTGGTAATTACGTGTCATACAAATATCTTAAAATCTTCCTATCTATCCTAATAAATGAAGATTTTTTTACCACATATCAAATTCTCATTTAATTTGTCAAATGTCATTTTGTAGTTATTTTGAATTAATTTTTTTTCCACACGTCATTTTATAGGTTTTTTTTCTTATTTTATTAAATTCCACATAATATTTTAATGTAATAATTATAATAAATATAATAATAAATGGATATCAATATACTAATAGACTTAACTTTTAAATTCAAAATTCCTAAATTAAAGCTTATTATTTTCTTTTGTTTATTTATTTAAATTAAATTATTTGTTTAAATTTAAAAGATAAAAAAATTTCAATTTTAACAATTCACTACTTTTCTAATTTTGTTATAAACTCGAAGTTCTCAAGAATTTAGACCTTTATACTTAACATTTTTTTTTTTTAAATTAACTCATATAATACAGAACTCTCACAACTAGTTATAATAATATACTTGTTTTTAGGGACACATTTCCATAAAATAGTCATCTTCTAATTTCAATTCTTAGCCAATAATCTCTAATATATCATCAAAAATTACAATAAATCAATATACAAATCATATCCAAACTTGAATTTGGTTGAGTAGGACTTCATTTACTTCATACATACCTCGAACGTAAAAAGCAATAGATCATCTCCACACCGCCTTTCTTTTGATTCTTCTACATGATCCATAGCCACGCGACCCCATTATCATCGGTCAATGGTTGCGGACCTTTGAAACACAGACCATATCAGGTTGTAGTTATAATTTCAATCTTGATTCTAAGTTTTAATCTTGATTCCATTTTTCTAGCATAAAAATAAACGTATAATGTTGTCTTGCTTCAAAGTTTGCATGTTTCATTATTGGAGAAATTTGAGCCTCTTGGGCTCCTGATCAACTTTGGTGAAAAAGGATTTGAGAAATTCCCCCAAAACGTATCTTTTTTTCGGTTCCTCATTACATTAAAGATCTATATCTCCTTTAACCTATCGACATATAATTAAATTATCTATCAGTACTTTCATATCACTACATGTGATACAAGGAAGCTAATGGGTCAGGTTGGAAAACTTGGTGAGTACATAAGGTTTTCAACGCATAATATTATAATATTTAATTATATATTCTTCAAAATTTAGATAACCCAATCACCCCACTCACGTTATTTTCACTTACTAATCCTAATATGATGATCTCGAGGGATCGTTCTTAAAGGACCTTTATCAATAGACATCTATAATTCCTAGGTGATTAGGCACGTTAGTATGATAATAATTTGGGTAAACACGACAACATGGTAGTACATTAGTATTTTGGATAGTTACGACAATACAATAGTACTTGGGATAGACACAACAATACAAAAGTACATGGAATAAGCATGGCAGTACAAAATTACTTAGGATATACACAACAATACAAAAGTACTTGGAATAACACAACACTTAAAAGTATTTGGAATAGACACGAAAAACATAGCTTATTATTTCACGCGACTTTCACTAACCTATCATAACCACTATCTCACACAACCCTATCATCACCTCTCATTTGTTATTTAGCACAACCCTTCACTGTCCAATCATATTATTAAGTATGATAAATGTACGGTTAAATCAAGTAACAATCATATTATACGACTACATTAAACACAACAAAGACAACACATATAGCAATTAAGCATTTAGAATACTTGTATTTATGTGTAAGCAGAAAGTAACTATGTACTCACCTGAGTTAGGTGGGTGGTTGGAGAATTCGGCAGCGCTCCGCCAAACTCCTTGACCTTTTTTTCTGATGTGACCTAGATACGAATGTCACTAAGTCTTACTCTAGTGTTCCTAGTGACTAATAATAGTCTAGATTCCTCACTAATCTCAATGTCTGAATCAAGATCTATCAAGTAAAGAACAACCAGATATGATCATATCAGAGGCAGGGTCCGTTTAGTATATAAAGTATACAATTTGCAAATCTCACTTTAAACACCTCACTAAATCCAACTTAGACATCATCCCCGTAAGTGGATCAATTAGTATAATGACTTGGAATTACTGATTGTAACAACGCAAATGTTCAAACCAATTTTTTTTTTTCATTTCAAAAATAAAGTATTTTCATTCAAACCAAGCATAATTATTCCAAGTGTTATGTCAAAATAAAATTCATAGAATTCCTAAGATCTCAAAACATTAATCAGTGTGTACACATCACGCCGGCGCCTTCCCACGGTCCTCGCTAGTACCTGAAACACATACATAACAACTGTAAGCATAAATGCTTAGTGAGTTCCCCCAATATACAACTTACGAATATACGCCTTTCCAGGCCCTGACCTTCCGGTCCACAACACAACGCCTTCCGGCCCATAACATAATCGCCTTCCGGCCCATATAACATACATAGCACGCATAACAATTAACTTACCACATATAGCACGTATATCACATATCATATCCGACCTTCCGGTCACACAGTCAAACCCTTCCGGGTACAGTATAGTGAGAAGACTCACCTCGTGGATACTGAAAGCTAGCAACTCCTGAAACCACTCGTACTTGATCCGCCGATCTACAAACTCCCTATAACATCATATATCTCTTATTAACACTTTTATCTTCCAAGTTAACTGACCCTAAGAAATCACACATAGGTCAACTCTGGTCAACGGTCCACGGTCAACTCGACCGGACTCGGCGAGTACCCTGGCGACTCGGCGAGTCTAGTCGTCCTCCAATCCTCTAAGATTCCCTTTCTACTCGTCGAGTATCCTCCTTGACCCGACGAGTTACTCCTGGAAGAATCGTGGGGCCACCCCGACTCCACTCGCCGAGTCTGAAGAACAGCTCGACGAGTCCCAGTTATTCTTCAAGCTACTCGCCGAGTCTGTTCATCGGACTCGGCGAGTCCATGCCATGCAGCCGCTCAAACTGCTTCCTAAGGTCAGAACTGCTCCGACCATTCATAGGTCTGGCCTTCCTAGACTGGTCCATCACGTAAGGTCCTCATTTCGGTGCTCATGCTACACCCAAGACTTATAATTTACATATTGACCTAAGGCATAAGGATTTCAATCCAAAACCTTCATCACTTCCCGAAATGCACAGGCATGGGACATTCTGGACCTCCAAAGGTCCCAACACGGGGTTACAATCGTTTGGGGGACTA